TCCAAATGCTTTTTTCAACAATAAAATACGTATAAATATATACATAACACAATGTTTTAAGATAGACTTTGTGCAAAAAATTGGAATAAATATTAGAGTATTTCTTAGCTTGCAACGATGCTCTGCCGCGGGTATGCTCGCCGGCCAAAGTGTGCTGTAATTTCTATTGGGCACCCCAAAGGAAAGAGTCTGTCAGGCTGTTCCAACAGCGGATTAGTCCTCTGTATTTATTAGATGCTTTCCGTGACGCAATACAAGTGCCACTTCTCGTTGGCTGCCAAAACTTAACTAAAACTCCATTTTCTAAGAACACTTAACTATAATTACAAATACATCTACATACTACACTAAACCTATTGCCATCCTGCTCCTTTGTGGCGACACCCTGTGTATACCTGGGCGTCGTTACAAACTTTAAATTATATTTTGGTCGTGTTGTTTTTGTTTCTATCGCACTTTCACGTTCGTGTCTTTTGGGAATTGGAACATGAAACACGGCAATCGCGTCCACGCAGTGCAGCGATGTGCCCCGAACAATAAAAAGCACCGACTTTGCCCATCTCTGTTTGTGTCTGTGAGTGTGTCACTGTGTAAGTGTGTCCGTAACGGTTTGATATTTTGCGTTCTTTGTTATTTATTGTTGTTGTTATATGGCAAGTGAGTAAAAAACATATTTCTATATTTCAAAATCGTTTAACGCCAATTTGTAGATTTAGTTTTGTTGATTACGAATACCAAATTTGAAAACGATCGGACAACATTTTTAACACAAGCCGAGTATGCAATTTTATTTGTATTCTCTTAAAGATCACAAAAATAAAAGTTGAAGATCATCGGTGAAAAACTGAAGATTTTTCAAACAAACTTTGGAGTTCGTTTTCCGCCCTTTGGAGCTCGAATTTTCCAAAATCTCTTCTTATCGCCAGCCTACACTATGAAAGGATACTTGAGTCCAAATTTCAGTTTTCTAGCTTTTACCGTTTGGGCTGTGGGCTGTTGACGCGGTTTCTTTTTATACCCTAAGAAAGCCCCAGAAATTCAGTCTCCAAGGAAAAATTTACAAAAACGTGTATGCACGAATTTTCCAAATCCTGGGCTGTGCGTTGATCACCAATCAATCAGTCAGTCTGTCAGGACCAGTGCTATCATTTTAGCTTTTTTCCCGCTAGATCTGGCTTTTTATACTCTGTACATGAAATGTACAGAAGTATATTAGGTTTGCGGGAGCTGAAAAATGTAACAGGCAGAAGGAGGCGTGGCAGACCCCACAAAGTATATATATTCTTGATCAGCGTGACAAGACGAGTCGTTCTAGCCCTGTCTGTCTGTCTGTCAGTCCGTATGAACACCTGGATCTCAGAGACTATAAGAGATAGAGACACCAAATTTTGCACAAAGATGCCTTTGTGTGTATTCTATACGAGTTTGTTTTATTTTTTTTTGATTTTCTCCCTCACTTCCCCCCTATAGGGGTTTTCCCGATTTTCCATTCGTATAATCACCTATATCTCGGAAACTATAAGACCTAGGAACACCAAATTTTAGTCCCAGATGCCTTATGTGAATACGCAAAAAGTGTATATTTGGGAATTTCCCTCCCTCCCCCCTCTCCCTCGCAAATCGTAACTCCCGTAATTCTTGGAATTTCGAACTAATTTTGCAAATACTCCCAGTTAGTTATTTTGTGTCCGTGTGCCAAGTTTCACTATGATAGACCGATTTAACAAGAAGTTATAGCCATAAATATATAAGCGCTGCCCGCTGTTGTTGATGCTGGTGCTTTGGTTGACTGCACACATGTTTACACAGACACGAATAGATGCGCATAGGCATACATACACTCACACAGACGCAATTGCTATGTAAATGTGCAATTATACACCATTTACGTGAGTTCGAATACCGAGAAAGGTAAAATCGATCAAATTTTTTTTTATAATTTTCTTAATTTTTTTATTTTCTATAATTATTGTAAACATATGTACAGAGTATTTCAAAGTCAGGAGACCCGACTTTAGCGTTTTTACTTGTTTTTTAATGTTAGAGCAGGAAAAATTCGAAAATAGCGGGTTGCGGGAATTCTAGCTTGAAAAAAATTAATTTAGCCTTTTTCTAGCTTTACTTTATATTTCACCATACATTTTTTCCTTATCTTTGTCAACACTTAAAATCATGAATGTTTTTAAGGCCGGCGTGTTTTGTAGCTTATTTTGCATTGGATTTAGCTTTTTTAGGCTTTATTTTTTTGCCAATCTAGCTGTTTTTGCTCAAAAAATTATGACAGCACTGGTCAGGACCAACTGTTTCACATATATAGAGATGTGACTTTTTTGCACATACTATATATTGTGGAAGGAGAATGCAAACACAAGGTACAATTACAGAGAGACGTCTGATTTATTCACGGATTCGAAAAAGACGGACTCGAGCAAATTGCTTAAGCCACAAAGCTACAGATTAACTTTTCTCTCTTAATCGGATTTAAATCAACCTTGTTCAACTAAGGAGTTATCGTAATGAAACTTTGGAGGGATTTATTAAATTTGCAAAATTCGAAAGAAAACGCGGGAAAAACACGAATTACGGGGAAGTTGAGGGATGTATCAGAAAAAATAAACAAGTTTGATCTGCTTAGGGCTCAGGGGAACCTGAATACCATTTGGTTATTCTAGCTGTTATACTTACTGAGATCCTTAACAGGTAGACGGAAGGACAGACGGACATGGCTATATCTACTTGTCTCATACTGCTCAAAAATATATATATTTTATGGGGTCTGCCACTGTGTGTTACATACATTCATACTAGTATATCCTTTGGCTACAGGGTATACAAATTAGGAAATTCAAAAAAGTGAAATAATTTAAATGGTGCAAAACTGCAGATTGACGTAGGAATTGTGCCTATGTGATTCTATGTATAATCACGCATAGGCGTGTCTATAAGTGTCTGTGTATGCCAAATTGGAGTCAAAAATTCCAAGTTATGGTTCACTAAATGCCTTGTAGAGGGGAGGGAGGGAAATTCCAAAATGCACATGTCTTGTCATGCTGATGAAGAATATACATATATATTTTTTGTAGGGTCTGCCACTCCTCCTTCTGCTTGTTACATTTTTCACCTCGCGCAAACCTAATATAGTCTTGTACATTTTATGTACAGAGTATAGCAATTAAAATGAGCAAAAAATTAACAAAAAAATGTCTATATATCCTCTTAACCGGACACTCCCCTTGGCCGGACAAAAGATGGTCGACAGTGAGTATCCGGCCAAGAGAGGTTTCACTGTAATTCTTTTTCCTTGAACTAAAATGGTTTGTCTTTTTTCAAAAGATCATATAGTGGCTAGACTTAAACTGAGAAATCTTTAATAAATCGCCTGAAGTACGAGCACAACCCCAGAAAGTTCTGGACTGTTTGCACCTTATCTGGAATTGGAAAATTTTGAATCTTGTCTAGCCCTTTGCCTTCTGCTTTTATGCCTTCACTTGATATGCGAAAGCCTTAATTTTTTATACTCGATTGCATTATAATTAAATGTTCCTTCATATTTGTGCTTGCTACCATGATATCGTCCATATAGGCAATAACCTTACTTTCTCTAATTAAAGCATCAACAAGAAAGGAAGGAAAGTCAAATAAATACCCTGTACCCACACCAATACAAAAAAAATAATAATGTACGAGTATACAAGTATAAATAAGATTTGCACTTAGCATACTTTTTTTATATCCATAAAATTTCAGCTATACTTGGCGTGTATTAAAAAAGGTTTACCGTGCATGCGCATTCGTGTTTTTAAAACCCAATTTCGTAATCGTGTTGCGTTTGGCCGAGAAAAGCCGACCTATGCTCACCTCTGGCATCAGCGTGTGCAGTTGCGTGCGTACGGTGACTTAACGTTTTATTGATAACCGATGATATTTGCTAACGACGGTACTCATAAATTCAGAAGAACTGTGAGAGTCATTTAGGGTCATGTGCTAGAAACACCGCTATAAATATGTACATAGTTGTAAAACCAGCTAAAAAAAAAAAAATAGAAACCGACAGTTGACGATACAGCTTTCAATTACATCAGAAACCGCAGTTCTACTTCCATTAAAAATCCTGGAGTCCCCCAAAACCACAAGAAACGGGCGACTCTTAAAAATCAAGACCTACCTATCATGTAGGGATTGCCAATTGCGTGTGTTTTCTACAATCAGGATCATGCAGCCATGTGCCCAATATGCCAATAGTAGAACACCAATGTACCTTTTGGTTCATGCACACCTGTTACCGTGCATAGTTCTATTTGGCATCAAAAATATTTCTTTAAAAATCATAACCATCTAGGTAGCCATAAATAAGCAGTAGGCAAATCAACTGCTGACGATTGCGTGTATATTTTTAATGCAGCGGTGGGCACGAAGTTTGCGAAGTCACATCTATCCCAACATCTTCGCTTTTTACTGCATACGTGCTCATACACAGACACGCATAGAATCAGATAGACACAATTCCTATGTTAATGGGCAGTTATACGCATACATATGTATGTACAGAGAATTTTTATGTCGGAAAACCCGAGTTAGCTTCTCCACTGATTTTGTTTAAAATTTATCACTTTGCTTTATTTGTCACTGAGTAAATCTAAAAAATTACTATGTAAAATTTACTAAAATTCGTATTTCGAAGCTTCCAAAATTCTATATCAATCCTATGCTTCCCAGAGAATCATACATTAATGCCTTGTATAAACCTGCTAAAGCTAATTTAAATTATTTAAATGTTTACCTTAGATCATTAAAAAAATTGCATCGATTTTAAGTATGTATGTCCTTAACAAGTGGACCGACATATTAAATAATAAAGGACCATTATCTCGTCGTCGAATCTTAATAGGTAAAATATTCCTTTTTAGGCTCCATTTTAAATAAGATTCATCATATTGTGGACGAAATACTATAAAACGCCCTGACTTTGCAATTACCGGTTTTTTACTTTTTTATTTCAGCAATGCCATGGTTTGGCATGGATATCGGGGGTACGCTTACAAAATTGGTATATTTTGAGCCGAAAGATATAACCCCTGATGAACAAGACCGTGAGGCTGGAATCTTACGAAATATTCGTCGGTATTTAACAAAAAATTCGGCGTATGGAAAAACTGGGCATCGTGACACACATTTGCAGGCAAGTTTGTATAATATAATAAAAAGGCATTGATGAGGTGAAAACATATTGGTAAATGTAAAAAAGCAGCTCACAAAATTTCTGATATATATGATGTGTCGAAGAAAAAGAAAGCGTGTAAAGATCACATAGCTTTACATATCAATTTTATCGAACGAATTAATTCAATTTACCAGTTTATTGGATAAGAAAATGGTAACCACTGTCAGAACAATGCAAAATGAATGAATGAATGAGTGAGCACGCACTATACATGACTGAAGAAGAAATATATACATGACAAGTGAAGAAAAATATTCTAGCAGGCAACGTATAAGCAAGTGAGAAAAAGGCAGCAGGTACCAACATAAAAATGTGTCGCCATATTTAATATTTGTATGAATACTATACTGGTATACGAGGTACGAGGGCAGTGCGAAATGTTTCTATGCTGACAAATATACACCTGCTAACGGATCTCTCCGCACTATTTTTACATGACGTGTTCCACACTGAAGTATGTATATTGCGCACTGGGTTTGGTGCAATGCGCCGAAGTGTATCTAAACACTTCTTCAGATCCATCGGATTGTACAGTGCAACTCCACGCCAGTCAAAAGTCGAAACTAATGCCCTAATACCCTACCAACCTCAATTTAGTATTCTGAATACTAAAACCCGTAGTAGCGAAACTTAAACCCATACCGCCTAAGTAAACCCAAACAATATAAGCAGGACTCGGTGAGCCCTCACCATTTTGCCTGATAGCACTATCCGTGCTAACCAGGTGTCTACTTTAGTCACGTCATACGACAATCGTTGACGTACTGTGATGATATTCTAAACCCCGCCAACACACAGGGGGCTGATAAGGATACAGTTGTTAATTGACAGCTTAAAAAAATAATGTCCTAAGTCAACACTTCTCCCAGAGATGCCAATGTATGGGATGGCGCATTATCCTGTTGAAACACGATTTCGATCGAGAGTGAGCAAACGCGGCACCCAACGAGGCGAGAGATTAGTCATATCAAGTTAGTTGTTCAAAACATAGCAAACGCGGTCTGTAGACATCTTAGTGATCTCAGCTGTCTCTCTTATTATGATTTGTCGGTCGTCCACATCCATTTGTATGATTTTTACACTTTTTAGCGCCCCGAATGTTTCTAATCTTTTGAGCTAGTGCGTCCACGTTTAAATTAGCTGCACATAGAGAGCTTTCTCTTGTGTTCTATAAGACGCGTTTTTTTCTCCTCCGCATTTTTATTTATTTTTGGTTGTTCTTTTTGAACTTAAATTTATAATTGTTGCATACAAATCTTGTTTTTTGTGCTTGGCGTGATAACTTATGCAGAGTTAAGTATCAAATCTATAATTTTATATTTTTGTCATCTGTTGCTGTGTTTGTTGTTAGTGCATCTTTATTTTGCTTTTCTGCCTGCTGTCCTGTTTCAATAGATTTGTGTGCGTGTGTTTCAGTGCATTTTTTCTTTTGCATCCTGCTATCACAAGTTTGTGTTAGAGCTTTGTCGTAGCGTCGCTCAGCAGTACGGTTCTTTTTATTTCTACCGTTTTGTTGTTTGTGCATTGCGCTCGCGCACTCTAATTTTTCGTTTACTTATTTCTAACCCTAGAAAACTTGTTGTGGCTAATACAAGGTGTGTTCCAAAGTAAACAGGACTTTAAAAAAAAAAAAAACAACAAAATCAATTTATTTTATTCAAAATAGTCTCCTTCTGCTTCAAAACAGCTTTTTGCACGATCCAAAAGCATGTCGAACGAGTGGTCCTCAAGACCACTTTGAAAACGTTGAAACCACTCGTGCACTCTGCTACGGGATAGGCAATCATCGCCATAAACTTGTTCCATCAATTGAAACGTTTTGGTAAAAGTTTTACCAATTTTAAAATTTAATGTTTTGGCTCTTTGTTCGAAGCTCATTTTCGCACCGATAACACAAACATACTGACACTTAAAACGCAATAACTTCACTTCCAATCGATGAAATGTTATGAAATTCTCACTGGATAATCGATAAAGATAGCAGATTCTAACGCACTAGTCCACATATAGACAGCGCCACCAGGGGCCGCTAGATTCAAAAAGTCCTGTTTACTTTGGAACGCACCTTGTATGTCATGCTACAAGAAGTCTTGCGCATATATAGATACTCTGGATTGTGACCAATTGCAGTTCATAAGCTGCTGGTTGTGTGACAATATGATGCACGTGTGCTGGTCTCAGTGGGAGGGACCATGATAAGATCATCGCCAAGCCCAAATAAGGCTGTGGCGGTGTAAAATGGTCTTGTCCTAAGTGCATTGATATTCAATTTGAATTCTCGCGGATGTACAATAACGGGAGAAATCATTTTGCAAAGCTGTACAAGTTAATTAAGCAGTTGGCGAGTGATTTTTACTCATGAGCTAAGTTGCTTGCTTTGACTCTCCACCTAAAAGGAGGTTTTGAGAATCAATTTTTAAATGTCCCTTCCGTTGCGCCCTCTTTGTAGCCTCAATAGCTTGCTCCTCTCCCATCAAAACATTGATTGCTCTCCAATGCTGTCTCTGTGACCCTCTCCAGCTATTTTATTTGATACTTCCCCTTTACCCTCGCCGATTACCGTTTTAGCGACCCCTATTTTTGTGCCACCGGCACGCAGCGAAGCAGCAGCGGCGACTCATAAACCATCTGAGCCTGTTTCTCGCGTTCAAAGGAATCAATGCGAAATGCCCTCTGATGTAATGGTCAATACTGCTTTAACCTTCCCTTGCAGTCGTAGCGACTCGGAAGCAAGTATTTATTTTAAGGCTGTCTGCTGATACTAGCTATGAGTCTATCGCAGCTTACATCACTAGAAAATCTTCTGCTAGCTTTTCCATTTCGAAATTTAATTGTACCCCGAGATATTGCTTCTTTCAAGATAAGTGTTCCGTTTGAAGCTTTTCAAACTATTTGTGACCCAAAATGTTGGCCACCGCATATGATAGTTCATGAGTTCAAAAAGAATAAACGCACTTTACAATTTCGGTGTCCCTACCAATTAGTTCTTCAATACCGCCTACTAACAATTGTCCAAAAAACTAGAATTTTTCCTAAATCTCTTTGTTTAAACTTACTGCTTTATGTAGGAATCGCTTTTCGTTTGAATTTGACATAATTGCATTGTCTGAGACGTGATTAAATCCTACCAAATCCGACATTGAAATTTGTCGAATAGCTTTATAAAATATAGATGTGATAGACCTGTTCGCCGTGGGGGTGGTGTACTGATTGCAGTTAAAACCATCCAGTCGGAAATTGTCCACGTTAATATACCGGAAAGACCTAGAATTTATTTTCAACAGCTTCTCGAGCGCTATATATCACTTGCTCCTATATTCCTCCTTCTTCTGATATTCATTTCTTATTACTTGTATCAGAGAAGTATGTTCCCGCCTGCATGATAATGACTTGATTGTTATGATGGGTGATTTTAATTTACCAAGCATTTCTTGGTCATTCTTTAATAGTTGCCCTCACCTTATTCCTTCGTCACAGCATGACTTTTTAGATTGGCTTCTTGAACTCTCTTAAGTTCAAATTAATCCACCTTCATAGATATCTCGATTTGGTGTTTGTTAATGATGTCACTAATGTTGTTGTTTCTAGATATTCTTCTTTAACACTTGAAGATATATATCATCCTACTCTAGAAATTTGTCTTCCCTTTTCTAGATCTAGTGCATGGTCTTCTGAGTGTAACATGCCTCGCAAATGCTTTCGAAAATGTGATTTTATTATGCTTAATGCCTAATTTTCTTCTTTTAAAATCCAGTGTTACACAAATTATCTTGAGTGTTGCAAGCTTCATTCTCTCATGGGCCTGACAAAATTCCTAGTTGTGTGCTCAAAGAGTGTAGTACTTCCCTTTGCAAACCGTTGCTTAAGCTTTTTAATCTGTCCCTTGAGAACGGAATCTTTCCTGCTTCTTGAAAAGAATCGTTTAAAAAGGGCTGTAAGTCTGTAAGTGCTGTAAGTCAGACATTTCCAACTGTAGAGGCATTGCTAAACTGTCTGCCATTCCTAATTTATTTGAAAAAATAATTATTTCTTCTTTACAGCATTATTGCAAGTCTGTAATCTTCCCTGCTCAGCATGGATTTTTTTAAAATCGGAGTGACAATATACCATTGCAACGTATATCTACAGTTGAAAATCTGGGAGTTCTTTTAGCTCCCAAATCCACTATCGTTAACAAAAGTTAAGGGTGTTCTTGGTTGAATTAAACGATGGTCCAGAGAATTTAACGACCCCTACACCATCAAGCTACTTTACAGTTCTCTAGTACGGCCAGTGCTAGAATACTGCACATGTGTTTGGTGTCCTCAGTATAAATTGCATCAGGATCGCATTGAGTCGGCCCAAAAACAATTTCTACTTTTTGTTCTTCGTGGTCTTAACTGGGATTCTAACCTTCGATTACCTTCCTACTCCAGTAGACTTTTTATTAAACCTGGATTTTCTGATGGTCAGAAAATATAATGCACAGCTCGGCAATTCAATGATCATTTTAGAGGAAGATTCAAAATGGTTCGTTAGTGGCACAAAGCTATTTGTTGCTGCATGTGGTTTGAATTCTTTTTCTAAATGGGCGGCAAATACATTTGCCTTCTTTTCGTTGCTATGAGCCCACTTTCCTCTTTGTTTACGTAATGGTGATTCACTCCCGATTGGTAAACATACGCCTGATTTAGCTTTCCACAGTGGGAAGCGCTTGCTGTTTGGGGAGAGTTGTTCCATGACACTACAGACACTAGTGCTTCGACTGAGGTATCTATGTCATCTTTACAGTTAATGTTTGGGCAGCCATCAATATGGGAACTTACATACTTCCTGTATTTATAATTCATTTTGTTTTTCTAGAATTTAGAAAGTGTGAGCGCTCCAATCAAGTATGGTTGCTTCTTTGGATCTGTGGGCTAATATGTAGGCCAGCCCGAGATATATAGTTGTTTTCCTTTCTGCTTGATGAGTCGGGA